AAAAAAAAAAAAAGGTTGTTTAAGTGACACGTCCCCCAAGCCAGCGCCAAGGCTCCAGCCCGGTCCCTAAAGGCCTCTTTGGGGTTTGAGCGACTAAGTGCAGCCCTGCTTTAATTTGTAACGGCAACACCAAGTTCCAAAACTAAAATGCCACGGAGACTCGTTAAGCCTTCGGGTTCCCTTTCGTTTCAGATTAAGCTTCAAAACAGAAGATTTTATCTGTACATCCTTGTGCATTTTTAGGGTATCTCCCTTATCGCTAGCCATTACTATAAATGCAAAGCCTTCATACTGCGACACCGCAATTCCAAGACAAGAATTTCATTGGCGGCGCTGTTCTGGGTTCCTTCAAGCTTTTAGGTGCCTCTTCACACACATCAGCCCTCCGACCCCAGAATTTTTCAGGACCAAAGTGTTTTTCAGTACTTAACGTTTCCCTATTACAAAATGGGTTTCATCTTTCCATTTCTAAAGAGAGGGATGACACTAAAACGTATCTGTGTCCAGGCGTTTTCACCATGAGGACAGTCACAGTGACAGGCTGCCCAGAGAGTTTGTGCAACCGCCATCCTTGGAGGTTTTCAGGACGCACCTCACCAGAGCCCGGCGTAACCCGGTCTGACCTCAGCGCTGGCCCCGCCGTGAGCAGGAGCTTGGACCAGAGCCCTCCTGAGGTCCCCTCCCACCTGCATGGTCCTGTGCTCCTCTGCTCACAGAGCAGATGCCCACTGGCATCGGTGGAGGCGGAGGAATGGCTCCTGCTCCCCGGTCTGGGACGGATGACCCGTTCCTTTTTGGCCTTAACTTCTGCTCTCTTTAGCCCCCTAACCGTGTAGTCTCTCAGCAAATATGGTTACGAAGAAAAGAGCCCGGCGGGTCTGCCTCACCCGCCGGATCCCCAGGCTGGGAGACTCGACCAGCTCCCTGCAGGACTGGATTTCAAGATCTGGGCTGGAATTTTTTTGTCCCCCCCCCCCCCCCCCCCAGAGTCTCAAACATAATTGTGTTTAAAATTGTGCTGTTTAAAATACAGTTTAAGCAAATGTCTGTGTCAAGGCAAAAAATATATATAAAGCGGATTGTACTGGCCGCCACTTCTCTCTCATCCAGTCAAGAGCTGGTTTTCTCAAAGCCAAGCCGTGCTACCAAAGCCTCAACAGAGCCGCCGTCGCCCCGGTGGGCTTTAAACTATCCTTGACACGCACAACTTCCCAAGGAGCACGTGGTTTGTTTTTTTTTTACAGAGAGGAGCTCCCTTCATCTTCAGCACAAAAAAATAGCACCCAGCTACAGTGGCGGCGCTGTCCTTCTAGTCTATTCGTAAGGGCAGATTTTAACGACAACTGCAGAACCCACATCGCGTTTGAGCCCGCGCGGCACTTCAAGCACCTAAGTGCGTGCCCCGTTGCCAAACACTGAGGGATTTCAGCGCCCGCGATCAGAACCCCTCATGGATTTCACTGGTATCAGCAAAATAAAGGAATTGTTCTGTATAGTTTTTTTTGTGACTCAAGCGTGCCCGAGAAAGAGGAACAACCGAAGTCGGCCACTTCCCCTTACCCAGTTTATTTTTACTGCGGGTTATTGTGGGAACCTATTGTGATTCAGTGTTGCAGTAGGAAGTTACTAACGCTGCTCTTGCAGCAGAGGATGTCGAGGCTCTTATGCAAGCCACAGTGAAAATAGCTGACCTTTCAGCATGGTTATCAAAGCACCTTCAATTCACCAATGAAACAGCAGCGGGCTGTGCAAAGAAGGTGCATCTGGGGCTCGAGCGCCCGGGGTGCTGAAACCGCCCAGCGCCCCGAAATACTCCCGGCACGCCTTGAGGACTCTTTGGCTGCG